GTCTCTGGGAAGTGTTGTGTAAATTTCCCTTGAGGATCAGGACTGAGAGATTGGAGAGAGAGTGGCCCTCCTGTGAGAAATGTGCCCCCACCGGTAATTGAGTGTTTCTGTCTTTGATGGATTTCCGATGTGCATTCATTCTGGTGCGCAGTTGTTGTTTGGTCTCTCCTACATATCTTCCATCAGGGCATTTGGTGCACTGGATGAGGTATATTACATTTCTGGAGGTGCAGCTGTAAGATCCTGGGATGCTGATGGATCTGTTGTGGGGTGTAGTAATTGTGGGGGTGGTGGAGATGTGTTGGCAGGTTTTACATTTCTTGTCATGGCACGGTCTGGATCCTTTTGGTGTGTTCTGGGCTTGAGGAAGTTTGCTTCTGGTGATGAGGTTGGCGAGGTTTGGTGCTTGTTTGAAGACTAGGATGGGTGGCTCTGGGAAGATCTTTTTAAGAATAGGGTCTCTTCCTAATATGGGTTGCAATTTTTTGAGGATTTTCCGTACAGGTTCAAGGGATGGGTGATACGTCATGAAAAAGATGGTAATTTTGATCCTTAGGCCATTGGAGTAGTTGTGGTTTTGCGTGAGTTCTTTGCAGATCTGTCAAAGACTGACACTAAAGAGTGAAAGAGCAAATATATCCATCTACTTGTTTATGTACATATATCTGTATTTTTAATGTGCCAAGCACCTCAGTATCCAAGTTGCTTGAATTTTGGTCTTAAAAGCATTATTTTTTACATTTCAAATAATGAGCCATAGTTGCAGACCAGGATCCTGTTATGCTAAACATTGTACAGACACAGATTAAAAGATGGTTCCTGTTCTACTCTCTTATGGAAGCCAAAATCCTTTTGACAGCTAGCTGATCATTTTAGGAGTATCCAGGTACGTTTTTATGACATCTGTGTGTATGGAAGAAAAAGGAATAGCTGACTTGCAAGTTATTAGGGCTCCTAGCTTCTTAATGAAGTTTAATGTTTATTTACTTCATATTCTAAATGGAATGATCTTAGCTATTGTTCATAATAATTCTTGGCACTGCCTAGCACCTTTTATTCAGAGAGCTCAAAATGTTTTACAAGTATAGGTAAGCATCATAGGTAAGCATCTCCATTCCCCATGGGAAATTGTGGCATGAGAAGTAAGTGACACCCAGTGGCTAACCTGTTACTCTTCCAACAAGTGTTAGGAAAGCTCTTTTAAACTAACTGTCTTGTGTTTTTAATTAATATAACTACATGCATGTGTGCGTCATTTCAGCAAAATGTGTGTATACACATATATATGCATGTACATCTATATACATGTGTGTATGCATATACCCACATATGAATATGTAGTTAATCTGTGTATACATATATATTAAACAGAATGCTTTAGGGGGGACCTTTGGAACTGTGCACTTTCTCCGCCTTGCTTTTTGACAAGCTCTTGTGGCAATTGTAGATGTGTTTTTACTATATATGCTATATGGATAGATGTTAACATTTAATATGTAACTTTGGCTCTGGTGCAGTCCCTGTATTTATCCAAAGGTAGTATTACTGCATGGAGAACAGTAAAATACAAGGAGTATGAATGATCCCCTTCCCAGCCAGGTTTCATCTTACGTTAACTCAAAAGGAGTTGACTTGCCTACAAGACCTTATTCTTTCTATTACTGTTAGTTGGACTGTCTCTAAATAACTCTCTTTTTTTGCTCTCTGCTATTTAACGTTTAATCAGGGAAAATTGCCAGTAATTAAAATAGCTGGTTTTTCACATCCTCTGAACCTCAGGGGTTCTCAATGTTTTCTGTACACAGTAAAAAAAATCTCAGTGTCCTAGGTATTGTTTAACGGAAAGTTCACCATCTTTTCCTTTTCAGCAGAGAAATAATTTTTTTCCTTGTTTGTATATCAATGCAAATCTGATCAGTGTATTGTTTTGACTGCCTGGTTAGTTGCAGGAAGAAAGCTCCAGGAAGAGAAAATTGCCAGTTATAAGCTCAGTGGTCAAAGTGAAAAAATTCAGTAATGATGGAGAAGAGGAGGAGGAAGAAGAAGACTATGGGTTACGGATAGGAAGCATCTCCAGCAGTGTTTCTGTACCAGCAAAGCCTGAAAGAAGGTACTTGAAAATTTCTGTGATCTCAAATTTTTCATTATCAGTCTAATAGGGAATAGAAAACCTTGAGAGTTGAAATTGGTGATGCTTGCAGTGGCTGAACTATTAAGTGAATGTTTCATATCCCTGAAAAATTTTCCTACTATAATCATCACTTATGAATATCAAATTTCTCTAGAGTTGTTTTTCCTCACAGGTTTGTGCTCTGTTCTCACATACTTATGCCTTGAGGCTGAAGGTAAGAGCCTACTAAACTTTCAGAGCCTTACCCACCAAAGTGAACCACTGCTCCTTGCATTTAATAGTTTTGGATGAAATATGTAATCAGCAGTGGGGAAGTTTCTGCCCCACTGGGAGTAGGGGTCCAGACTAGAACCCAGGACCCCCTCACTTCTAGGGCAACATTTGTCCCGCTGTGCCATACAAACTGGCTCGTTTTTCTCTTGGCTGCCAAGTGGACGCCCTTCAAGAGAAAGGCTAGAGAGGAATCTCGGTAATGCCAAGCCTGTGGCCTGGGGGTTTGAGCACTTTGCTGGGAAATAAAGTCCCATTTGCTAGGAGATGTATGTTCAAACGCCCTCTGGATGGGGCAAGCCTAGAATCCAGGCTTCCTGTTCCCTGGGCAAATGCCTAACCATTAGACTAGTGGGTTAAAATGTTAAAGGATTTTTTTCTCCTCTGGTATATAAAGCCTATTAGTCATGGTTATTGCCTTAATAAATTTTGGGACTTACCCAACCTTAGGCATGTATCTGGGTGATTCTGTTGATCTGCAAAGATACCTGCCCAGAGTGCAGCCCATTGAGTGGACAGAGTTGCATCCTGAACTATGCATAAGTGCCCCAAACTGCAGTTATGTGGTTGTGACATGACATTTAGGCACATTAAGTGAAACAGGAATTAGCCTTGGTCCATGAACGTTATTTGTTCTACAACAAGGGGAAAAAAGATACAAACAACGGTATAAACATTTGTTACTTATACAGATTTAACAAGAGGCAAAGAGGATTTTGATATTTTTTTATTGGACAAACTACATGGTTGGGAGAGAAGTTTGGCCAAGTTTCAGGCACATGCTCCACTCTCAGTTCTTAGGAAGAGCAATGTGTGCCTTAAAGCTTGTTCAACATCTCTTCTATCTACACAGTTAGTCCAGTAAAATATAGCACAGAAAAGTCCCTTGGCTTTCATGTGTTCCCTGGACCATCCAGGCTAAAACATTCCAACCATACTAGTTACATGAATTTGAAATTCAGTCTCATTGCCTTGGGCCCTGGTTAGATATAATCTTTGAAACACTTTAAATGCTTTTGAAATGCTTCAGAGGATGAGTGGACAGATGTATACACCCTATGAAGTGCTCCCGAACTGGCCAAAGCTCTTCAAAACCAGCCCAAACAGAAACAGCAACTTTTGAAGTGTTTCATTTTGAAACACTTCAGGTTACATGTGCATGGTAAAACATAATGAGACAGGATATTGCTTGGTCCTCTGGCATCTCACAGTGCTCCTTTTCCTTTCTGTTCGCTGTGCCCTTACAATCAGGACAATCAATGAGTACTCCCTTGTGTGTGCAACCATTACTGGGGCTGGAGCACAGGAATGTCTGCATATCTCTTTCTCTCTGGTTTCCCTGTTCCAGCAGTGGGCTGGGGGAGAGAGGTGCCTCTCCACCTCCAGAATCAGAAGACCAGAGGCAGAGCATGTGGGAGAACACACATTGATGATTTGTCCCAAGCAAAGCCTCAGGATTGAGTAGGTCTGTTCATAGCCTGGGACTTTCAGTTGATCCTATTTTAGATTGGTGGATGCCTGCTGAAGTGGTAGACAGATGTATCAATTGTATTGATGTGAAAGGTACTGATACAAAAGCCCTTACTATGTAACTATTATGTCTGCATGATTCTGTAGCAATAGAAGTTATAACAAACTGATCCAACTTTGACCTTGTTTTGTTCAGGGTCAGAGTTGGACAGTTTGGTTAGAAACATATCTCCTTTGCGGTGGCCCTGATTGTCCCTAGTTTTGACCTGGAATCAAAATAGTGGCACAGCCGTGTATAAGCATTGCCTTTCCAAGTTTCATTGCTGTTCTACTGCCAGTAGGTGCCAGTGAGACGTGTTACACTGTCTGACAGGCCCATCCCTGGGACAGCCTGCAGTAGGTTTACATGGCATCTCAAGGAGAAAGCATTAGCACACTTTATCTCACATACTTTACAGATATTGGAAGCAGCACAATGGGAATGTATCTCTATAGGATCCTAGAAGAAGCGAACTGGGAGAACAAACTGGTAGAAGCATTACGTCTGCTTACAGCCTCATAGAAGTTCCTCTTTGAAAGAAACGTTTTTGTGGTGTATCTGCCATTTTTCTGGAACTGCAAATGGCCTGAGCGTGTGAAAACATGCTTTTTGTAATGCTGCAAGGGAGTTCATAGTGCTAAATATGAAGCCTGTGTCCATACCCTTTGCTAGTTTAGATTGTAACAGCTGCTGTATGCTCCTAAGCAACAGCTCCCCCTCCCTTTTTAAAACAATTAAAAATTGCATTTGTCCATATGCTGAAATTACCTTTTTCATGATGTTTAAAAAAGGAATGAGGCTGGGGATGTATTGAATTTTTACTAAGGATTTTGGTTCATTGCTGCCTGGTTACCTGATCAATTGGTTGAAAATGTTTCGGTGGAAGAAACGATTACACAAACATATAAACATATCATTTGTAGAGTGTCATGATAGTAGATATCATGTCAGTAAAATGATAAACACATACCTACAATGACCAGCTGAATTCATATATCTGCAGAGAAAATTAATTGTATTTCTCCCTCTCTCTCTCTCAGACCTTCACTGCCACCTTCCAAACAGGCAAATAAGAATTTAATTTTGAAAGCAATCTCTGAAGCCCAGGAATCGGTTACAAAAACAACCAATTACTCCACAGGTAATGCATACTGTTTTTATGCTTGGCAAAGCTACGCTATTTCTACATCATATCTGATAAATCAGCATTAATGTATGGTGTTGCAAGGAAAATAAAAGTGTAATTTGAAACCTGATGTAATTATACAACTTGATCTATGGAGAATTCTTTATACATTCTGTATCTGGCAATAACCTACAGAGAGAAATTTTGGAAATAGAGCATAAACAAAGAAGAAAAAATGCTTAAAATATTTGAAATTAGTTGTGATAGAGAAATGCAAAAAAGGCTTCCCCCAGTGTTAGGAGCTGCACAGGAAAAGTTGTATGTTCCAGCAGTAAGGGGCTTCTCTAGTGTAACTGCTAACATCTGGAACTAGTTACCTTTTAGCTTTTAACCCTTTTGACGTGTGCTGTTTAGCCAACTGCTACTCTTCACCTCCTTCACATATTCTCTTCCTGCTCTCATAAAAAATGAAGCTAAATAGATAGCAATGGGGCAGACCACGTGGGATTTATGAGTAACGAAACCTGTCAAAACTCCATCAATGATGTTTCAGTCATATTCCCTGAACTCTAAACATACTCTAGATAGGGGGATTATAACTCCATTTGAGTGGTTCATGGATATCTTTGAACAGCTGTCCACATATAGACATTAAGTTTTAGGAAAGGATTTAACTACAAATGAGTGATTCTTCCCATTCCTGCCAGTGTCTGCACCTTTCCACTGACACATATGGGTAACTGTCATATGATAGTACTGTGTGTGGTATACCTTGACTTTAGGATGGCTTTTGATACGGTTTCGCAGAACGTTCTCACAGGCAAGCTAAGGAAGTATGGGTTGGATGAATGGACTGTAAGGTGGATAAAAAAATGCCTGGATCATTGGGCTTGGAGACTAGTAGTCAATGGCTTATTGTCTAGTTGATAGCCAGCCAGCTAGACATCAAGTGGAGTGCCCCAGGGGTCAGTCCTGGGACTGGTTTTGTTCAGTATCTTCATCAATGACCTGGAAGATAGCAGATGACACAAAGCTGTGGGGAGTAGTAGATATGCTGGGGGCTAGGATTAGGATTCAGAGAGATTTAGACAAATTGGAGGACTGGACCAAAAGAAATCTCATGATATTCAATAAGAGAAGTACAAAGTCCTGTACTTAGGATAGAAAAATCCCATGCACTGGTACAGGCTGGGAACTGACTGGCTAGGCAGCAGCTTTTGCAGAAAAGGACCAGGGGGTTATAGTAGAAAATAAGCTGAATATGAGCCAACAAGTGTGCCCTTGTTGCCAGAAAGGCTAATGGTATACTGAGCTGCATTGGTAGCACTAGTGAGTCCTGATGCAGCACTGATGAGGTTACATCTGCAGTACTGCATTCAGGTTTGGGCCTCCCACTACAGAAGGGATGTGGACAAATTGGAGAGAGTCCAGCAGAGGGCAGTGAAAATGGTGAGGAAGCTGGGGCATGTGACTGCTGAGGAGAGCCTGAGGGAACTGAGCTGCTTTAGTCTGCAGAAGAGAAGACTGAGAGGGGATTTAATAGCAGCCTTCAACTACCTAAAGGGGGTCCAAAGAGGATGGAGTTGGACTGGAACAGATTACCCAGAGAGGTTGTGGAATCTCCATCTTTGGTGGTTTTTAAGACCCAGCTAGCTAAAGCCTTAGGTGGGACGATCTAGTCAGGGATGGTCCTGCTTTGAGCAGGGGGTTGGACTAGATGACCTCCTGAGGTCCCTTCTAACCCTTATTTTCTATGATTCTAATGTCATGCTGATACTACTTTGTGCACGGCTGGGCAAAGATCATTCAGTGCATCTGTCTGGCTAAGGCTTCCCCTGTACTTCACTATCATCTGAAACGAGAATGAAAGTGATCCAGAAAGCTAACCAGACCTGTCATGGCCATCTCCCACAGACACAGAAGTTGACTGCAGCAATAAAATTATTGGTTATCTGTCTGCATATTTGGTTATCTTGAGAAGGATCACACTGGGCTTCTTTCTCACTCTCAAAGTTTTTGCTTAAATGGGCATTATGGCATGGGTGCTGCCAAGTATATTAAAAAACATAAGAGATGTAGAGGAGTGTTCTGTGGATAAAAGTACAATGATAAATGCATATTATAGTCAAGGAGATGGAGTGTTTTCCAAGGACTATTATTCTGTCTTAGAGAAGGTATTTAACTGAATGAAGTTAAAGGTAAGGCAGACAGGAAATGTGTCATTAAAGATATGTATCCAGTAGCTAACTGTATTGATTGATACCATCCGAAGGTTAAAAATAACATTAAGATGAAAGACATTTAGAAGGGAATCTGAAAATAGCATAGATCTGTAGCATGGTTTGGTCTGAATGGTTGAGGATTGCTCTAAGGTCAAGGTGATTTCTTCTTAGCAAGGCTTCTTTCCTTTTGCTAGACCAAAAAAAATCAGAACAGGTATTTTGGAGAAGAATTTTAATACTGGATACTTATTTTTTATAAAATCTAGTGCAGTATGTTTGCAGAAGACTTCAAATATCTGTTTGAAAGAGCTGGAGAATGTAGTTTGCAAAAAGTTATTGACTGTGGTGGTATAGAGAAAAATACAGGGAATGGTGCCAAATAGGTAGCGTGACCCTCAAGGCATGAATTTCCTTAAGACAAGATATGTCCTACAAAGAGGAAATAAAGAAAAAAGCGTTGATGGGGAAAACACTGAGATTACATAAGGTGTTATAATTAAAAGGATTCTTATACTGAAAGAGAAGATGGAGCAAGCATGGCTAAAGAATGAACTGGTATAAATTTAAATGGGGATGGAATGAATAGTATGAGGAGGAGGCAAAGATCACTGCCATCTTTGGAAATAAAGAAACAATGAAGTTAGCTTAAAATTGTTTGGGAGAATAATTTATTGAATCACTGTTATAAAACACATTCCATACAAAAATAAACTATTAAAAGAACATTTTAATGGCTGAAGTGAATCCCTCATAAATTAGGAAATGCCCAATGTAAAGTAATCTGTACAGCATTAATCATGTCGTTGGGTATAAGCATTCCAACATGGCTTTTAATTACATGTTCACATACTAATTTCTTCACAGGCCCCTTGCCCATTCATTGCCCAATGAAGGAGGTAGCTATTCATTACCTTTTTCTTTTTATCCTCACTATGCAGTGTCTTTTCACTAAATAGTCTTCAAATCCTCCAATAAGTAATGGAAGTTTTAGTTCTTCCTGGAGCTTTCTTCTGCCCTCCTACCACAGTATGTAAGCACCTCTCAGGCTACTAATGAACTTGTTTTCAAGAGTTAGGAGGACCATGTTATGCCCATTTTACCGATGAGGAGCAGAATTATTAAAACAAGCTAATGAAAGAGATATGAGAAGTCAAACCAATGAGTCCTAACTCCAACCCAGAGATTTACAATCAAATGGCTTTGGCAGCAGGCTCCTTAAATGTACCATGAAACACTGCAGGAGGCTCAGTGGAGCCGGGGAGCGCATACATTGCAGGAGAGGAAATGTGGCCAGAAACATTTACAAATCCACTGAAAACTTTACTGTGCTTGCAACAACAGTAATTTTGTGTGGTTTTTTAACTTGGCCAAAATGGGAACATACTCTGGACAGGGAGAGGGGAGAAAGCACCTCCCTCTGTTCAGGGCTTATCCCTACATTGAATTGAAACTTCTTGCTCTAAACCCCTAAGACACTAGAACTGCATTATAACTTGCAGAATAATGCAAATTATTCTGCATTTTTTTAAAAAAATACTGGGTGCATCTACATATGCACATATATTCTATATATATTCTCTAGATAGAAAGATAGCTATAGATATATATAGATTATGTGTGTATGTGTGTGTATTCTATATGCCAGGAAGAGCCGGGGCTGAGCCAGGTGGGCAGCGGCAGCACTGGGAGAAGGGGTTATGGGGGGGGCTGCAGCGCCGCCCCTTAGCCCCTCTTCCCGTGCCACTGCTTCCCACCCCAATCCCAGCTCCCACTGAGAAAAGCCCAGCGCAGCTGCAGCTCCAGCCTGCAGTGCAGCCTGCCCGCCCCACCCCACACAGATCCGAGGGACACATGCCCCCCTTCCCTTGTGCCCCCCCCCAGATGAGCTGCAGCTCCATTCCCCGCCCCTTCCTGGCTGGGCAGCGCCTACCCCAGCCCCTGCCCCACTGCCTTACTCACCGCAAGGAGTGTTGATCTGCCCTCCCCATCCACCACAACGGACTTACCAGCTGCACGCAGGTCTCCAAGCTGCCGGGCTGTTCTCCTCATTGCCTGCATGCTGCGCTGCGCCTGCACTCACACACAGGCATTTATCGGCTGCATCAGGCTGATTTCTGATGCAGCCAATTTTCTTTATATCAGTGCAGATCCGCTATCAGACCAATGTATCGGTGCACCTCTACTAGGAGCAGCTGACTCTAGTGGAAACTGCCAATTTATTGCGCCTTAATTGCATGTATAGATGCACCCACTAAGTGTCAGATATTCTTAATGCAGCTGGTTCTGCTATCCCAGGCATTTTATGGTTTGTAATTATTTCACATTGTATTTAAACAGAAAATGAAACTAAGATAACTTAAAACACACTGGATAAAACAAAGAGAAAAGAGACTGAAAGATAAATCCAACACTTGGCAATGCCTCTCATACTGTCAGGTCTAGCCACATGAAATTCATTTAGACTGCAGCAGTCCATCCCCCTCCCCACCAACGCGCGCACACACTGTCTGTTTACCATTTTGTTCTTTATTTGATTATAATGCTTCTTTGTCTTGGAAAGTGGGTTCATGTATGCTATTGCTATTACTAATCTGATTGCTTCAGTGGAGGCTAGTGATAGAGCCCACTAGCTTTTGTGAGAGGTCAAAAATATATCTTACAGCTAGGTGTTTTGAGATGCAGTACATGCCAGTCCATATACTGCTTTTACTGTATATATTTACTTAATTTTTGAGAAATAAATGGCATGTAATACCAAAATAAATCTAGCATCACTGCTTTATATTTCGTTGTTATCATGCTCAACTTTTGTTCTCATGATTTAAAGTTCCACAGAAACAGACCGTTCCAGTCGCACCCAGAACTCGAGTTGCCCAGAATGAAACTCAGTTAGAAGTGATCCATGTGCAGACCCAACCGTCTAGACCATGCTCCCAGACTCAGGCAGAAGAACTAAAAGACCAGACAATAGAAAGAATTCAAGGTAATTCTAACAATGCTGTTCAAAAAGCGATACATAGTAAAACTCCTATGCATGAAAGCCTAAAATAGGCTACATCAGTTTGCTGCATCATAATGCAAAAATTGATTCCTGTTGCTGGCTTTAAAAGTAGGTATAAGTTATAAACAAGGGGTGCATACAAGTATTATATTTCTACTGATGGAATTGCAATTAGACGAGCGCGCACGTGCCTCCACTTTGAGACGCCACAAGAGGCACGCTATGAATGGAAAAAAAGTTCCCCACGCTGGAAATCCAGGTATCAACCCCCCCCCAAAAAACAAACAAACAAAAAAAAAAAACACCTGTAGGAAGAAAGCAGGGCAAGGCACAGTCCTGAACCGTGCCCTGAGATAATCTGGAAGCCAGTTCTCCAGAGAGACGCTCTGGTTTCTGGACCAGGAAAGCTGTGCGCTAGCAGGGCAGGCCAGGCTGGGTCCATTCAGCATGTACAGAGCCCATGTCACACAGCACGGTGATGCCACAGGGCAGGGGGGTGACATGTGAAGGCTCCTGCTCAAGTCCCCCACACACCCAATGCTAGTAGTCTAGCACTGCTAGCCATCTGGGCCATGTCCAGTGCAGTGCTGCCGGACCCACAGTCTGTGTGGGGAGAATGGGCTCAGTCTGACCTGACCTGGCATGGCACAGCCCACTAGTGTGCCTTTGGACAGGACCGGGACATACAGCTGGCCCCAGGCTCTAGCTCCCCCTGGCTGCAGATCTGAGAGGAGCTGGGCAGGGTCATTTTGCCCCAAGTGGCACAACTTGCCCCACGCCAAAGTGCATGTCCAGGCACATGTGCTAAGGCAAAAATCCCCAGCACAAATTTGCACCACTTCTGTTTGAGCTGCTGCAAGAGCACGTGCCTGCATGTGTGGACGCACCCCAAGTGTAAAAGCCTTCAAGCAGTTTCTGTCAGAGCAAAAGTAGCAGATCTGGTAGATACTTCCACCACCTCTGAGGAGATAAAAGTAATCTCCAGTAGAGTTTCTACTGGAGAGATGAACACTTGTACACTTTACCTCTCCAATAGAAGCCTCCATGCTATTTTCTGGCTTCCCAGAGTGTGTAGCTCTAGTCCCTTCCCCTCCAGAGAGACAGTCTGTGATATAGCTGGACTCTGCTGCTGTGGCCTAGCACCAAAGCAAACCTTTCCCCTTGTCAGTTTTGGGGCTGAGAAAACCCCAGCCTCTCTCCACAGCTCCAGGGATGTGCAACTGACAACTCCCCTGACGAGTGCCTAGGCTTTAAATGCTGCCCCCATAGCCCATCTAAGCGGTGGAAGTAGTATTTAAAGCCTGGGTGCCAGGAATGGAGTGGGGAAGCTGCTGTTGCCCACTCCCCAGACAGAAATCCCTAGTGTGAGAAGTCAGTGGAGGGGTGGCCCTGCTGCTCAGTCCACTTTGGGAGGTCCTTGGCGTGAGCAATGCCGCAAGGGTCTGCTCGCTCGCATCTGAGGTTCTGGTTTGAGGACTGGGCAGGGGATTTCCCCCTCTGCTCCAGTACCCCATTCCCAGGACCATCTAACCCCAACCACACACACCTGACCTGCACTGGAACCGGGAACATGGGCTGATGCCAAAGAGTAAGGCTCCAGGGCTGCTGGCGAGGAAATCGACAGGCTTGAAAAGTTAGCAGTGGGTTATCTGTCTGAAAGCTTGATAGCTGAGAGAGGGAGGGGTGTTGTGAGGAAGAGGTGGCCCCCTGAGCTGGCCAGCCAGTCAGCCCTGACCTGTCTTTGGATACTGTCAGCTGTCTCCAGGCTAACAGGGGAACCTGCATAGTACTCTGGGGCCCCTTGGCTGGGTGCTGTTGGCACAGACTGTTTCAGAGCACTTATCTGGACAGACTCATGGAACCTTGCACAAGCATTACACAGTAGTGTTTCCAGCTGCTCAAACTAAACTGGTAAACTTCTACTGGTTCATTTGGGAACTTGCATGCACCCAAGTTTTGTTATAATGAAGTTGTTCTATAATATACAACAGAAATGATTGGTTGGAGCAATAGGACCTAAGCCTTCTAAAATCTTTTGAAAGATGTGGGATAAAAGTGCCTAAGCACTTTTGAAAATTGGACTTGGGAGCCTAAGTCCTGTTATATCAAAGAATTGCTCCTAAGTCACTTAACATAGGCATGTTTGAAGATATTACTTGTCTTTGAATATCATACAGGTGAATTCCTTGAACCATATGTGTGAGTTGAATATAAACTGTGTATACAAATATCTGGTCAATGTTGTACCTACAAACTGGTGTCCTTTAGTATTGGCCTTGCCTACTAGAGTTCATTGTTTGTTCTATTTGCTCAGTTAGCCTCAACCTTGCAAATACACATTGTCTTAGGTTGTCCTTTCATGATGATAAATCCTGCAGGTATTTGCAGGGCTGGGGTCTTAGCCATCTTTTGTTCAATAGAAACATTTTTGAGGAAATGTCTTGAAAAACTATTTTTATTGTGACTCGGCTATAAACTAATGGTTCCCAACAGAAGTTTGTGAACATTGGTGGCCTGAGAAGCCATAATCAACAGTCTAATGATTATACCCTTATTTAGTCTGCTTACTTTTTAATTAAAAGTTTCATGATAAGGTGCCTCATAGTCCTTGAGAAATACTTGGTCATATGTGTAACAGTGGTGGGTTGTAGGATGTGTTCCAATGAGAAATGTTCAGAGAAATGAATTCTTTATTCTTTAAAGAAGATACTAGACTTAGACAGAATTCATTTATTCATATTAAACATGTAGAATAAGTTAAAACGTTACATGGACTTGAGTGCGATGACTGTCAGATTGGCCTCATTTTATTGCATAAAAGTGGTGACCGTTTTGCATTAGATTAATGTAATTGCTGTTTTTTTAATGCCTTTGCTTTTTGTTTAGTCATATTTTCTCTAGTATTTTATGCAGGCAGAATATTTCAGCGTTAGAATCAGTTGGAATAATATATAGTAATACATAGTAAGCAGCTTTTCTGGTTTAGTTTAGCTTATAAAAATGCATCTGTGTGCGAGTCTTTTTCTGTGTGTGTTAGTGTGGCATGCATGTTTCCTTAAAATGTTTAGATGGAGACTGGTGGAATAGTTTTTCCAGGTCCTAACAACATATCTAATGCAGAAGACTGGTAAGCTAATTTATCTAGTAGTTTTAATATCACCGTAAAGTAACCCTTCTTTGAGTTAGCTCCCTGCCTTCAAACATGCACATGGTCTTAAACATAGAAAATCCATCTAAAACCTGGAGGAACAAAGGTGCTGACAGATATGGTCTTCGTTGTACTGTTTCTGCCTGAATATTCTGCATCTACAAACACGTTCTACAGCCAGAAACAACAGTGAGAGAGACTGGCTTTTTCAATAGCTGGATATTGCCATGATCCTATCCTGTTGCAGGAAATTTCTTACTGCTTTTGAAAAATTTGAGATAGAACATATAAATTGCAGGAAGCAAAATGTGTTCCTCTGTTAGGTGTTATATATTTTAAGACTGGAAAGAATTAGCACCTGCTTTGGTGTTCTCATTCACCCTGTAGTTTAATTTTGCCATGCAATAAAATGTGCTTCTAATTTCTGTTTTCTTTAGAAACTGAACAAAGGCAGCTCTTTTCTCAGCTCCAAATTGACCCTTATGTTGAAGAAACTTTGCAGATGGCTCAAGGTCCAAAGGCTTTTCTTTTATAAAAAGTTTCTACCATGTGTTACTTTTTACTTTGCCACAAATGGATCAAAATAGTTTTCCATTTCAGTTAGTTATATACTGATTTATAATATTTTGTGGTTTGTAGAGCTTATGAAGTGAAGTCCCTCTGTCAATAGGTGCCAAAATCTGAGGTATTGGCATATGAATTCTCCCCAGCGCCCACCCCAGTAACAAGTTGTTGGTCAGGCTCAGGCTGGAAACAGATGTCTTAGGTAGAGCGCTATCAACTGTGCTGCGATATGTTGTGGCACAGCTCATTGCACTCCAGAGACGTCTGCAGATGTCCCCAGTGCCACACCCCAGTTTGGGGTACATCTGCAAGTGGGGGAAGCCCCTGCTTATAGAATTGCCCCTCGTGCTGGGGATTGGGGAAATTCTCCATGGGTGTCCTTCCACACCTGCAGGCACACGTGGGGAAATTCCTATTCAGAGGAAACTCCCTTTGCGAGTTTGAGGGACCCAGTCCTGACTAAGCCTTAAAACAGGGCTTTTCCCTGCCCAGCCAGACCCGCTCCTTTGCAGTTGTGGGGGACAGGTCTGGGTAAGTGGGGAACCCTTACTTCTATACTTAGAGAAGCACCCCAAAATTCACTGGGGTGCCCCTGTCAGCGGGAAAAGCAGGCAGATGGCCGAGGGGCTTGAGGGGCCCTCAGGATCCCAGAGCACCTGCCTGGGGTGGTGGGAGAGTACAAGCAGCTCAGGCTGCTGTACTCCCCTGCCACAGAGGTAATCAACATCCATTGCAATAATGTGTGAAGTCTGTTACTGTCTTTTATAAGCCACTGATATTCTTCTGATGTGGTGGGACAAAGGATATCAGTGTCTGTTTCCTCACTATTTGTGTCGCCATAAAAATGTTTATGGTGGCACAAATGAGACATTAGGCGATATCTGTTTCTACCCTCAGTGTTGCAGTACTGTCAGCTGATATAATCAGTGTTTGGTGATATAAGTAAGGAAGTAAAATGATTTTTCTATCAATAACTCCTAGAAAGAGTTGAAAACAAGGAATTGCTAGTTGGCCTTTGCTAAGTATATATTTAAAAACAAATAGTTGAACAATGGAGTACAATAAAGTGATTTTTGCCTTACCCAGGTTATTATGCCCTGGAGTCTGTGGTCCACACAGACACTAGATCGTTTATTCTGAAGAAGCCGAAGCTGTCTGAGGAAGTAATGCCACAGAACCCGGAGCTGGGGAAGAGGGCTGCAGAAGCCATGCAGGCACTGTCAGGGCGTCTCATACAGACACGGTAAAATGTCATTTCTTTAAATGCCAGTAAAGGGGTAGAGGCCCAAATGTATATATGCTAAGCCATCCTCTGGTAATACATCTTTTTCACCTAGTGTGTTGATTTAACTATAATGGGATTCACAATTAGAGCAGCAATTAAGTATGTTTCTTGGTTTTTGTATGTTGCAAAAGTCCAGTCAGGATTGCCAAAAAAAATATGGGCGAATGTGCTGGCAGTGTAGAAAGAAGGGATACAATCTGACATGGATTTCTTTTAGGGTGAAGATGGATTCCAGGCTTGAATGTAGCTTGAGCAGGTCATTGGAATTGGGTAGCTTGCAAGTATGCGACTGTTGGCCTACTTGTACTGTCCTTTTTATATATGTACTTGTTATGTTCTGCTATGTTAGCAGGAAGATGCATGAGCTGATAAGAAGTTAAGTTTGTTTAACTCTTGTACTAGTTTATTTATTCTTAGCATGTCAGACATCACTAACAAAATAATTCTAGTTGTATCAATAACCTCTTGCTTGCCATAATTTTAAACAATAGTTAAGCAAAGAGTTGGTGGTAAACAAGGTTGATTTTTTTTTTTGATGGTGGAGAGAGAGCAATTGTGTCCTGATTAGGATTTCCTGGGAGTGTAGGTGAAAAATTTTGCTGCTATTACTGTTGAATCATTGCCCAGGAGCAAGCAAATAGCTCGTTAAAGGAGTCGGGTGTGCAGGGAGGGAAACTAAGTTAGCAGAATTGGCCTTCAAAGAATTTGACCAAGGGGAAGTGTGGGGCTTGGGGCAACCAAGAACGGTCCATGATAGTGAGTCATTTTCATTAGCTTAACTCAGTGACCAGTGGCAATAATGCTTTTATTTAATCTTACAGCTAAGTAACTCCCACCAGTGAGGGTTTTGGGGTGGGTGTACACGCACCCTCCAGCATCTTAAATATGGTCTCATTGAACTACAAACCACTTTTGTGGAAGTAAATGCTCTGTGTTGAGTGGTATTTAGCATACTCCTTCGACCACTTCACTGCTACTCTGTTTCTCGTTTAGAAAACTCAGAAAACTTCTGATATTTCAACCCCTTAAGCAACTTCAAACAGCCTCTGTTTAAAGAGAAACCACTTTCCACATTTTCCTGCTCTGAGAATGGAATTTGCCTATCAAAATTTCACTGACTTGAGGCCCAAGTGGACATCATTCATTTCAGCACTAGTGACGTAGTGAGGGTCCAATAACTTGTGGCCCTCCAGGGCTGACAGTTACTCCTTTATATCAGCAGTATGAGTTGAGCCATCCCATCTAAGGGGCCCCAGCTTTGACTTCTATCATAAAAGAGTCTTGATTTATTGGGTCTTAAGCTGGTAATGGTTTTTATGCATTTAAAAAATGTCTGTTTTTGGAGGTGTGTGTTAAACTTTAGTTGTTTTTCCCTCTGTAAGGTATCAGCACTTGTTTGGGATAGCTGCTGAATGCATGTGTGCCTTTTCAGCTTGTGTAATGCAGGCATCCCAAACTCATGCTTGTAAAACCTTTAAAATGTATCAGTGTAGATGTTTGGGCCTGTCTGTGTGATGGGACAAGTGCACATGCATTGGATACTTTTTTCCCAAGCATACAGTTTACTTGTATGCCTCAGAATTGATTTCTCTTGAACAGCTTAATTCAGGTGTTTCAACCTTTTTAAATAAGTGTACCCCTGGTGGCTGGTCCGTGGGGAGGGGGGAATGGTGCGTGGCTGGACGTGGGAGGGGCGTGATTTGGCTTACGGTCGGACACAGAGTGGTGGCAGTGCAGGGTGGTGGGTTGGCGGTGCTCCGTCCCCGCCTGCGCATACCCCCTAGGGCCTTCCCAAGTACCCCCTGGCTTAATTGTAACCCTTTGGTAAGTTTTGCATAAATGCTTCTTGGATCAGTCCACTGGGTCAGAGTGCACCATTGTGAAGTTTACCACTGTGGTGCAATTGCCTGCTCTACACTGTGGCAAAAACCAGTTCTAGCTGGGTTTCAGTGAGACCTCAAGCAACACTGAAATTTGAGGTTAATTATTATTGGTAGAGAAGTTCAGTTCCAGTGAGTGAAAAGGCTCCTTGTGTTTAACTTTCAATCTCTGGATTCATTGGTAGAGCTCTGTATCAGTACAGCTTGCTTCACTTGGACTTCTTTTCACTTACAATGGTTGTGATTAGTACATTGTGTTCTCTTTTGTCTGGTAGAGAACAGCCTGCACAGCCAGAAAAGCCTCCTAGTCCCAAGTTCATAGTGACACTGGATGGTGTCCCCAGTCCACCAGGGTACGTGTCTGATCAGGAAGAGGAAGAACTGTGTATAACTGAAGGACTGAAACCAGTTACCCAACATTCAGTCACAAGCAAGGGATTAAAAATCCCTCGAGTACAGCAGATGCAAGTTGTAACCAGACAGCTGGGGAGCCCTGAAGGTAATTATTCTAGCCAGTGGGACCTTTGTGCTGGGGTGGATGAGGGGCTACACTTGGGAGAGCACTTAGGTTTGTTTATTTATTTATTTATTTATTTATTTTAGTCTTGTACATCCTGCTTTTACTTGTTTTAATACTTAGTATCTCATTGATATAACAGTGAGAGTCCCCTTAGATAAGTGAAATAATGCAGGAGGTTAAAGGTGATATAACCTTAGTGCTATTTAACTTGGTGAACCAGTTTCACATGGGGAATTCTGCTCCACACAGTTCAATACACTGGTAAAATGTGTTTGTCATTTCTACAATTCCCTGCGTTTCCGAATGCCTCATTACACTGTTTCATCTAGGAGTGTTTCGGTTCCATGTAGAAAGCAGGAGATTCCAAGATGCATCTTTTTACTTAACCTACCTTGAACCTCTGGAAAAGTATCAATTTGGTTATTAACTGTAATCTTTCCAATCAGGTTTGCCCAAAGCTCTTTTTCACTATAGCCTACATATCTATATCACTTCAACTATAATTTGGTGATTCAGGATGAAGGGATAGGGTGCCATTTCCTTCCCAGTTGCTTCATCAATCAATGCAGCGATTTTAAGAATAGTCTAAGGAGCAAGCCACAGTAAGGAAAACAGAAAGGCTGAGATCCTCAGCGGTATTAAGATATTGATTTCAGTGGGAAGTAGACACCCAGGGTGCTTATTTGTGTGCTTTGGGAGGTGGGGGGGAGCACTTTAATTATTGTGGCTCCAAGAACCGCTCCAATTAAAGTACCTGGAGCATCATGTGTATCAGTGTCCCTGCACTGAAAAATGGCAGTGGGGGGCACTTTAACTAAAGCTCATCAAACAAGCTTAGTTAAAGCGTCTCCACTGCCATTTTTCAGTGTTAGGACGCTGAATACACGCGATGCTGGAATCAAGTCCACTCTGATGCACTGTAATTACAGCACGTCAGAGCAGCCTTAGTGCACGTGTATAGGTGCCACCAAATATCTTATAAGGATGCAGGACCAATCACTCAAGTACAGGAACTTCTAGGGAAGTAAGGGCATAAAAGTGAGGACTTCTTACTCAACAGATTAGGCCTCAGAGTAATAAGGATTGCTATTGCTTATTAGCTTAGTGTCAGAAATAACTTTTATGCTTCTTTTGCATAATGGCTTTATCTCCGAAAGACTGTCTCAGAGAAATGGAGCAGCATTGTATTAACTCATGCTTCAGCAAGACAGTTAACTAAGTCTGAACTGAAGAGCAAGGGAGAACCCAAATTAATGTTCACATCTGAGTTTGAACTTACAAAGCGGGCAGGAAATAAATCTGAGTTCATTTGTAGTCTGAGTGATTTCCATTTCTGTCTGACATCAACACTGTGCTGGGCATGTGCTGCATATAAGGTGATCTGCTTCGTATACTGTATTGCGCATGCAATAGGAAATGTCCCTTTTTCCCTTCTACAGTGGAGATAGAGCAAATGAGTGTGCCACAGAAACAGGAGAAGGTGCTTGAGCGTTGCAAGTACTGGCCTGCTTGTAAGAACGGAGATGAATGTGCATACCATCACCCCACGCTGCCATGCAAGTGAGTGACACAAAGCTTCTCTCTCTGAGTTCTGATCTTCTCTGCCCTTCTGCATTCCAGATATTGCTTCAGCTATTTCACCTTTTTTATTAGAAGAACATGGTTCAAGCCAGTGTAAAGCTGGTCATTTGGGGGCTAAGCTAAGCCCCCCTCCCCTTCTTTTTTCCGCTGATTGCTGGGAAGTAGTGAGGTTTCTCATCAGTGGGATCACAGCTGTGCTGTTCAGGGGAGAGCAGGAGTACTCCTCAGTGAGGGGCCACAAGAGACTTGAACACAAAAACTAAGAGCCTGGTTATGCAGCTCTTTAAAAAAACAAGGCCTGCGGATGTCATTGTGCCATTGACTTCTTTTGAATAGGCGGTGGCTGTCCAAGATAATGTTTTCTTGCCACTGCCATCCTGGCAGGCAGGTGAGCATTTAACTGAACCAGGGAGTGGAGGAACCTACTGCTTTAGTGTGAGTTTATTATCAGGTTTGGCCTCCATCAGTCTTGGTTTGATCTTACTCAAGAAGGTCATTTTAAATTATATCCTTAGAACACAAATCAAAAGCTGAAGTCTCACCTTTTTCCAGGCAGATGACCTGTATGCACTTGTCTGTATGCAGACATTACTGTGAAGTAGGCTGGAGGGTGTATTTATGTGCACCAGTTATTCCATGCTAACTCCCCCTGTGCACAGTAAGCACAGGGAAAATTACTGCACTTATACTGAAGGCCAGGTTCTCTTCCACCTTTTACATACAGTAGTGGAATTAGGTGCCTAAGTGCAGTTCTATTCCACCTCACCCAAATCCCTGAAAAACTGTTAGTGCAGAAGGTGGGTGGGTCCTCCTCCCCCTTACTGCTTTGTTGTGACTGACTCAGTCTTAAAATGACCATGTGTTACAGCAGTAGATGAATCAATGGATTTTCAGAACTTGGACAGGCTGAAATAAAATCCCATTTGGAGGCATAATTGGTGTAGAATGTGGTTCTGAAAGCATCAGAGTAGCTAGCATGGAGTAGCTAGTGTGCCACAAGTGGACCCTGTGGCTTATTTGGCAGTAACTGCCCTATGTGGACAAGCCCTGGGTGCTGGCACAGACCATATCTCACCCTAGGAACCTTTCTGCTTCAGGAGGGGGTGTGCAGGAGCTGCTCTGTGGACAACGCCTAAAATAACTGGTTTGTTTTTTCCCTAAGAGTCTTTCCCAATTGCAAATTTGCTGACAAATGCCTGTTTATCCACCCAAACTGTAAATATGACGCCAAGTGCACCAAGCCAGACTGCCCCTACACCCATGCCAGTCGACGCGCCCCATTGCCACCTCCAAAACCAGGTGAGCAAGTTTTACTACAGTCATGGGAATTTCATTGACTAGGAGAGAGATGGTGCATAGAGGGCCAGGAGCTTCCCTAGCAAAATCTGATTTGGTGAATCAGAGTGGGGCACAGTATGTGCTAGATTAGACAGTTCTGACTTTATTACCCAGTTGGCACTGGGACTAAATGATGTCAGAAAGACAAAGAACAATGTCAGCCAGGCCACTCTCACTGTTGTGTATGTGTTGCCCTTGGTTGCAGGAAGCTGAGTTGTGTGTGGCCAAGGTGATGGCTCACAAAATCAGCCCAAGCACTTGTAATAGCTCAAATAAAGCAGCAGCTATGCAAGAGCAACACATCTAAGCTTGGCCCAGGTTTGATGTGCAGTGGAACAGGGACTCTCTCTTGACACAAACTTCAGACTTATGTTTCCGGAACCTGGCTTGGCCACCAAATTTTACATGCTTGCCATCTGATGGATCTTTTACTCCAGAAATCATAGCAACTCACTTTCTGGAGTGAAACAGCTTACTGGAAATTTGGTTAGTCTCAGCCCACAAAAGCTTGTGCTGAACATAAATGTACTTTGATTAGTCTGTAAAATGCAAATCTACCCTGCCTTCTACTAGAATTACTTGGATTGATGATCCTTTAAGTCACATCCCAAAGACTGCATCTTCACTGGTATGGTGCCTCCTGCTGTCCTATGGAGATGTCAGGACAGAGTCCAGTATACTGATTGGCAGCATGGCTCCATTTCCTGGCAGTCCTAAGTGTTCGTGGGATGGATCCCACCCGCAGCCTAAATGCAGTCGTTGGGCTATTCTGCCTAAATTCCGGTGCAGAGTTGGAAAGAGTACTTGGCAGCCTCTGTACAGATGCACTGAAGAGCTTCTTCAAGTGGCTGCATCATTGTCTTGTTCCATCCCAATATTTGTGGTACTTTAGTGCCCCATAGAAAAGTAGGGCTAGAAGGGGGGTCAGGGTCATCTAGGAGGCCAACCTTTTTTGGCAGGCATGCCACAGACTAGTCCCATAGTCTCCTTAAATGCCACTCCCATCCCCTTCCTTTGCCTGTTCTACTGCTCTGCTTTCTGCTCAGTATTCAGTGTTCCCTATCCAGTTGCTTACTCTGCTTTCAACTTCCTGCCCTATGTACCCAGCTTGATATCTTCTCCTTTCTGCTTCCTGCCCTATCTGCTGTCTGTCCCCTCCCTGTTCTGTCACAGGCCACATGCAGAGGCTGACTGCCACTTATGGTACTCTGTCGCAGGTTGGCCACCCCGGTCTAGTCCAACCCCTTACTCAAGGCAGGATCATCCCTGTCTAAATCATCTTAGATTAGTCATTCTTACCCTTTTCAGACTCGGGCACCCCCTTGGAAAATGCCAGCTCTTAGCTTTCACTTGTGTTTTTTGACTGTGGAAAAATACTAGAGCAATTCTTCTTTTGCAAAGAACTCAGAAAGTTCTGACCACAACAGATCAGGATGTTTTTGACACTGGAGTCCCATTCGAAATCTTCCGGTTTATCTTGCACACTTAATAGTGCTAATATTGTACAGCTCCCATGGCATCTATAAAATGATGTCACATCATTTAAATCCCTGTCGCAGATAACTGTCTGTCTGTTCCGCTCTTAAAAAACTTGGGAACAACTATCACATAAATCGCCAAGCTATGATAAGGTTTAATTGTTTGAGATCCTCAGACCTAAGGGTGCTCAAAGTTCAAACTGTTAATTGATGGGAATGTGGAATTACTTTGGCCCCTGCAGCATTTTTGTTTTTGTGTTACTAGCACCACTGCCGGCACTGCCTGTGTCCTCCAGCAGCCTGCTCTGCAAATTCTTCCCTGCTTGTAAGAAAATGGAATGTCCATTTTACCACCCCAGGGTAAGTGGAATCTCTTTGCTCCTCTTTTCCTTTGTAGTGGGATATCTGAAATGTGTTATGTGGTTATGTGCTGTATTTATGTACATTACTTTGAATGACTATTTTACTGTCTATATTTTAATGTCCATTAAGAACATTTTCATACTTTCAAGGGCCCCCAGTTACCGTATCCCCCGTTTCCCGTATGTCACAGACTGTGATGCAGATGGATGCTATTCCGTACATAAAATTAAAACCTGAAGGCCAAAATAAACCAAGCCAGAGATTCAAACTCTGTCCACTGGTAGAAACTCTAAACAAAGGTTAACACTTTTTGAGATTGTCCGCAGCTTGTATCATTGGGTATCCACAGTGCATTTATAACATGCATTCCTGCATGCTCACGTAGAAAGTATGCTGGTGGCAGGGTCAAGACTGTGGGAGTTACTTTGCGTAAGTAATATGCAGACCTCAGATAAATTACCCAACACCAGATAGCTGAGGACAAAGGGCTTAGGTACATGAGAAAGTGAACCAGCAGTAACTGTCCCAGTGTGATGACATGGCTAGAGCTGTAAGGCATAACACTGAGTGGAACACACATGTTATTGTGGGGGGCAGTGCAGTACAGACATGCCCCAGTGCTGTTCACTAACCTGAATACACAGGTTGCCCAGGTTGCACCTTCTGAGATGCAAGCTTTCCTTGGTCTGAAATACTGGTCCCCTAAACTGGATGAACCCTATGCTGCAGTTGATGCTGTCCCATGATACACACTTCCCAACTCTGCCCACCCCCCAGGTGTTAATTAAATCAGTAATTGTGTCTTTCAGCGCAGTTTATTCCAATGTATGTTTTCATGCTCATTATTTATGAAATACCTTGTGTATGTACAGGAAGTAGCATCTCTTCCACCATTGGGCTCCATTAATAATGCGATTCATTTGTCAAGTTATTAACCCATGATAGTATGTTAGATCATACAGCACTATGTACTTGTGCATCCAGTGTGCCAGGTTAGGTTGCTTGTGGATTTAGGAGACTAATTTCAATCCTTTCTGAATGTCTCTAATCTGATTTGTTAGCATTGTAGATTTAACACGCAGTGTACAAGACCAGATTGTACGTTCTACCATCCAGCTGTTGCCGTACCTCCACGCCATGCCTTGAAGTGGACTCGAACTCAAGCCAGGTAAGCTTAAGCAGTCTTTCCTCTGGTGAGTTTTAAGGCCCTGATCCCATAAATATTTATGCATGTGTGCAACTTTACTGACAAAAGTCTGAATGATCAGGGCCTAAGACTGTTTGCAAGAACCAGCTTCCCTAATGTTTATTTAAAAATCCTATTATAGAACTGTGGTCTAAGTTTTAGAACTCTGTATTTTTTTTATTAAGTTATTTAAATATTTACTCATTTAACCTTAGAACAGTGATACTCAACTTATCTGGCTGTTGTGGGGGGAAGAAGGGGACATACCTGATCAGGCTGTATTGTATCTTGGTCAGTCCTGCCTTAGAACATGGGGGAACTAGAACAGAGTTAACTGGATTCCTGATCTCCGAGTAGACCTTACTGTTCTCCAGTTGAGCTGCAAACACCACATTTCTTCTTCTACCTTGTGTTAGATGATAATATTGACTCCTCTTACCCCTAGCTGTTAATTAGCCCTCATCTTCAACAATGAGATTTTTCTAATGTGGTATGAACTGATGTATTAGTAACCATTTTTGGAAAATATTAATTACTTCTGAAAATACTAGTAGGAGGAGAAATTTTACCTCTAAAACTTCTGTTGTAGAGAGAGAAATGAATTAAAAGAATGTAATATAAAATAGCCAAAATTTACAGCTGACCTAGTTTGTGCTGAGAGGCTTATTGCTTGCCAGTTTTTCTGTTTCACTATACAGATTTAAGATCACTGTGAATATGTTTTTCTGCATGTTTTGCATACTCTGGTAGTAATGGCTTGTTTGTTTGTTGTTTCTTTCTTATCATATTTATATAACAGTTTCTACAAGTTACCAGCTTTATGCCAGAAAAACCTTTGTAAAAATCTCATTAAGAAAATCTGTACCTTTAACCTATTTCTCTTTATATTCCAGTTCCCCTAAAAGTAAATGCTTATGTAGCAGCAGGAGTTACAGGTTTTGAAAACCAACTCTGAAAGCCAAAACTTTCAAACTTAGGTGATTTGAAGTTTGACATCTAAGTGAATGGCCTAGTTTTCAGAAGTGTTCCAACAGAAGCTGAAGTTGTTTGCAGCTACAGATGTTCAGAAAAATCAGGCCTGTCCTGAAATAAAATGCCTAAACAGAGATTTAGGAGCTTAACTTTAGGTGCCAAATGTTGGCTTGCCTTAAAAGTTAAAATCTTTGGGGCCTTTTTTTTTTTTAACCTGAAAAGCAAGTGTTGCTGTTTTGACTGTTAACTGGATGGGATGGCATAGCACTCCTCCCATCATCTTTCATAAGTGGTTAATTGTGTGGGGTTTTTTCGCCCTCCAGTGAATAATTATGATACGACTTGTGGATAAAAGTTACCACCTTTGGACAGAGTGGAGAGGAACATTCATCAGAAGGAAAAGAGGATGCTACAGAACTTTACATGTTATGAACTTGAATATATATTGTTTTCATAAGATAAATTTGATTGCATATTTGAAATGTCTCTAATTTTTCCAAGTTTGTAAGTTTAATAGTTGGTTTTACATTTTTTTACACTGTAAAGAGAAAATGTATGTG